TTGGGGGGGGAAAAAATAACAATTAATTCGTTTTTTAAATAAAAAAAAAAAAAGTATAAGGCTAATTAAAAGAGTGAAAACAGGGTGTCCTGTAGAAGTCTGTTTGGTGAATTTAAGATTTTAACAGTAACTTCTTTGGATTGTTGGGGGATGTCATTCTCGGTTACTAGCTTCAGCAGGGGGCAATGACCCTAAGATGACTGTATTGTTCGTAGTCTTGTGTATCATTCTGTACATTTTTAAGAGTTGTTGACTTGTAGTTTTTTAGATGGCTTAAACTGACTTGCCCAATTGTACTTGTGTAACAGTTTATGGATGTAAATAAATAATGAATTATGAGTAAGGTAATCCAAAACAGGTTACAATGTTTGTTGTTAATATTACAGACCAGGTGTACATCTTTAGAATGTCCCCCCACCCCCACGAAAGGGACCGAGAGTACACAGAGGGAAGAGGACATTAAAACAAATTTTATGACTTAATCACCAATGATATGTCCATGCAAGAGGTCCCTCCCTTTTTCAACTTGCCAAAGGTTCACTTTAGGATAGGGTGAAAATAATAAGTGGAAGTGAAACAAAACTGAGGATAGACTTGAAAATTCTTTTTCATAAGAGGTGGAGGAACATTTCATTAGCCATGTTGAAGAACTGGGCAACTATTTAATTCCCTTGTTATAAAAGGAGGTTTTGAAAAATGGTACATGACTTGGCTGAAGAGGTGTGTATTCCTCAGAGACTTACAGATGAACGTAAATCTACCATCAGTTCAGGAACAGACATCCCCAGACTGATCCATAAGCTTAATGAGACCAGTCAGATTCAACAAACCTCATGTTTTGCAGGCTCTTTTTGAAGACTTGAGGAAAGGAGTAACAGTCTTTTGCTCTGTCAGAAAAGTGGTCCCAGTCAGAGGCAAAAAACAAGTGGGGAAACTAACAGATTCTGGCAACATCACTGATAACTGATAGCATAAACCTATCAAACCAAGAACCATATTTCATAAAGTGAAAATCTGCCATTCACTTTTGTAGATGATGAAGCTTGCCCTCTTATGGAAAACATGATTGGGCCTTTTCCTCAGAAATTGCTCGAAAATTGAAAATGGACTTAAACCTATCGAGCTCAGTGAATTGTAAAGTGGACATCTGGGATGCCAAAGTGTGGTGACGTTACCAATGGAGAAAGCTGAAATAGCCACTTTGGCTACATGTGCGCTTCACAACATGATACAAGGAAAAGAAAGTACTATTTCAGACATTGACAAACAGTCTGTATTGCAGGAAGGCTTGGATGAATCAAGGATCATTCAGCTCGTATGACCAATCAATGCACGTAATGTGCGCATGCAAAGACTGAATTATTTTCATAGCGATATTGGGTCTATACCTTGGTAAAATAAATATGCCCACTGTATTGACACCATTGCTGTATCCTGGTACAACTACATAAGCACTGCTAAACCATACTGTAATCTTGATACTTAAAAAAAAAAAAACTTACCAGGCATCCATTTGTGTCAAAATTTACACCCATAGGTTTATCTCAAATTCATCTACTGCCATGTTCTTTTATGGAACAATTATAAACCAGGCACCTCTCTTCCATGGGCGAAAAAAAAAAAAAATTCCAGACCATACTCAACCATCTTCACTGTGCCAAAAGGTATAGATATCCCTGTAACAGGCAATGCAGGCTCATTTGGTTGTCAGATGTCAAGGCTCCCACATTTTCTAGACAATCAGCTCACAGATGGCTGCCACCCTTTAACCTCAGGAAGATTCCTGGTACTCATTTCTGTTATAGGCTGAGTCGACCCCAGGACCATAATGTGGCTGGAAAGATTAGGTCAATTTAAAAATCCAATGACCTCATCAGGAATCAAACCTGCAACGTTCCAGCTTGTAGCATAGTGCCTCAAACTGCATAAACTTTTAGTTTTGAGTGGACCAGACAGCACAAGTCACAACTGGATGTGTTTCTCACACATTTCATCTTGTTCTGTCACTGGAGGCAGCCTCAACTAATTCTTCACATTTTCCTGCACTACACATGACTGACAGTGTATCAGTTTTCTCTTGCTGTGAGCGCTTAATGTTGTTCCAATCTCACTCCTTGACTCTTAAGATGGAAGCAATCTGTTCCTCCAAAAAAGCATGGTTCTCTCCAAACTACACGATATAAACCAAAACACCATACTCTTCACATTCAGTTGCTCCACACAACTGCAGGGTTGTCTCCATTATCTGCAGCAACATGAGGATGCATAATACCACAAGATCAAGGGGCCTACTTAAGATGGTTTATGTTGGATCCAGTTACATGACCAGAAAACGAATTCTATGTTGCATGCACCCACTGGTCAGGTACAGCACCCATTCCAGCAGACCTTGTCAGCTCAGTACACTAAACAGAGTAAGAAGTTATTCTTCGTTTTAACCAACAACTATGTATAGAACCGAGTGTTCAATACACTGCCCTACTTCTTCACTTGGCATAGACAGCAACTGATATTGTGTTCACTTCTTACATTAATACTGTCCTGTGTATGACTATAGACAGGGTTTGGATTGGTCACTTGATTTACTGACCATTTATGGATTGTAACTATAACAGCCTCACTAAATTACACACTCCAAACATAACTGTAACTACAGCACACATAAAGTCTTCTCAGCCTTTGCTACTCATTTCCTTGTAATGGTTCTTAACACTTCGCAGACCGGCGATTTAAACATTTAAATCACCCTGGGGACCAGCATTTTTAAACTTACTACCCTAACTTGTGCACTGTTCACTTTAAAAATTAATATAAAATCTCCTAATTAATTTTATGAACTAAAATTTTTGGAGAACACTTACCAATGCTCTTAGAAGTGCTTGAGAGTGCGATATTTCTGGAAACATTCCCCTTTGTGAAGTGCCATTACACAGAACTTGCACATGTAGACAGTCACACTCCTTTTGTTGTGTACTGCGCAAACATGGCATTTCTGCTGAAGTGATATCCACTCACTTCAATGCCTCATAACTTCTTTCATAATGTTCATGGTGTTGGAGATAGTATCTGTTAGTTTCCTGACATAGCATGTCAAAGAAACTATCTCCAAAAAAGAGTTCCGCTACTTCAGACACTTGCGTTGTGTCCGATGGAATGTGCTTCACCCCTGGATTTCCAGTAAACTGTCCCAGCGCAGGTGTTTTGTCTATTTTTCCCCATGTGGCTGTCCCTGCAATGTTGCTACCCACACTTTCGTTGGAGCTACTGTCACTTTCACTTTCACTGTCTGTGGCCACAATTTTTTGTTCGCTCCTGCCATGCTCATTATCAGATTGTGAGTCACTATGACTAGCAGACTCACAAGGGATGTCAGATAGCTCACTGGAGAACAAGTGAGATATTTCCGAATCTCCGAAAAAACACTTGGACCTCAACCTCTTCCAACCTTGATCCATTCTGCACTAGTAACTTCCTGCCTGGTGCATGCAGCTGGAAGATGAACAAAGGCATTTTCTTTTGGAGTGGGAAAGGAAAACAGTTGGGTCATGTTACTGACTACAAAGCAAACAATCAAGAGGTCTATCACGCGCCAGTCATGCGTCTGCCTGGTGCCAGTGCAAGGTATAGTGTGTTTCAACATAATGTGTCCTAAAATCATAATAATATGCCACCAGTGTGCCACATTTAAAAGCGCTGGGCATAAAAATATGCCACCAGTCCACAAAGGGTTAACACTGTCCTCTGCTTACATCATTACCATCTGGCAAATATCCCACAACTGAACTAAGCTCCAAGTCCAAGTCACATTGTGAATGACAGTCAGTCAGTCATTCAGTAAGTCTTGGTGCCGAACGCCATCTGCGGCTCATGATCAGATATTTATTAGTGATTGGCATTTACGGTCTTGATTTTGTGGGACTCCCTCTCTGACGAGAGGATGGGTCTGCCTTTTGTATATGCTGCTGGCCCTTGCCAGTGCAGTCTTTCTTGGGTCTGAGTCCCTTGGGACTTGCGACCATAGTTTACTATCTCAGATTTGAGACTTCCCTCTTTGTCGTCTCCTACAACTCGCAGGGTCACGGTGGAGGTATTCGACACCGCCTCCACACATGGAGAACTAACCTCTAAACTTTGTCCTGCTTATAACCTACAGGCATGGACAAACAGAAAACACTGTTCCTCTATTGTTGCATGCATATATGTTGCGAGCATTATATATCAACAGCCACTGTTTACAGAGTCACTGCTTAGCAAAGGGTCTATACGCCACAATATCACAAAACTTCAACCTGCATCCAATGAAACCATAGGAAAATGACCACGACGAATATTTGCGAGAATGGAAATGGCCAGGTGTCCAAAGCAGCCAAAATTCAATGGCACCATAAAACAATAGGCCACCAATGGTCCAACTTCTGTCGGCTAGCATTTGAAGCAAACATGAATGGCTATACTGATGGAAATTCCTGTGGCTTCCATCAAGTCAATTTCATGATACCCTGCCATGAGCCAGCTTGACTTTCATGTACAAATAACATCTCTATTCAGCCATGATATGTATACAGTGGCCATCTTGTAGTGCGCTCAATTTCACCTGTTACTTCACAACATGTTTCGGCAACATAGTGCCATCATCAGGTGCCCTGATATCATGCATGAAAATCAGTGCAACAGGACGCTAAAATACAACATTATCTCTATTCAGTACAACTAAACAATTTACAAAATGTTGGATCTGAGGTTCCCACAGTGGAGACAACAGAAAGTGCCACCTTTCAGGATGGGATGCCATGTGGTCCTATACGTAACCAACATTCCTCCAGGAGTCAGTGAATTTGTACCGGTCTACACAGCATTAAGTTCCAGAAGACGGAACTCAAGAAATATTCAAATCCTATAGCACTTCAGCATGACACCACATTAACAGTGGACAATTTTGTACGAAATATAAAATTCTGAGACCACTTCATACACAGGAATTCATAAAATATATTCGATTTACAACTCAGCAAAATTTACTCATACACATCTTAACCAGATAAGCAAACATGCACCCTAAGGGTACTGTGAATGCAACCTGAGAATGAAAACGCTTATTTATTTGCGGTTTATCTAGTGATCGTAGCAGGCATTCATACAATATTGCGTTGAATGGTAGGCTGACTAGTGCACGCTATGTAATTGGTATCTACACCTCAGTACCCTGTGTGCACACTAATATAACTGGTGACTATCTACATTTTTGCACCCTGTGTATTTCTCGTTTGTTTCGACTGGTGAGTAATGGATTTTATATGATGTGAAAGTGGTCGTGGCAGAAACATTACGCCGGCATTTGTCTGCAAGAACTGGCTCCAAACACGAAAAAGTAGTATCCACGTCGAAGTTCAAATGAGAACACAAGTCACAAGTAACCACTCCACTCAAATTGTTCAATTATTGACAATAACAATTATTATAGTTACCATACACTTACGGGGCTCGATGGCTTAACCTGCCATGTGCGCATCCAAATGCTCAACAAACAACAGAGTTAAAGCGAAACGTGAATACATTACCTTCAGCCTCCGTAGCAAGCTAAGATCGTCACCGTCCCTTTTGTAAGACATGTCTCAGTCTTTAATCACGAAATCGCTAAATAGAAACGAACAATACTTATAAATCATACGCAAGCAACGCCTTCAACGTTGTCTAATTCTCTCTCCATGAACGCAAATTCTACACCGTTACCTCTTCTGTGTTTACCACCACTGTTACACTGTTACCGACCAGTTACCGACTGTTACTACAGGTACACACTTCCGCCTGTCGATTACTACCACTGATTACTAAATACCACAGATGAATTTAACTGCCTAGGAGCTGAGACCTTCTTTTAAGGCCCATCCACATTACTCGTGATCGTGATCGTGCTGGTATGACTCGCAATGCTCGCGAGTAATATGGACGATATGACAAGTCACGAGACAAGCAATACGCGCCGCACGAGCCACTGGTTCGTGAGACTCCGCATGTTGTCGGTACATCAAAGGGGTTCGCGACAAGCCGCCCGAGTCATGTGGACGATGACGAGCCTTGATCCGTCGACTTTTTGCACTCGTGCGGAACATGGAGTGGACGAACGATTCCACGATTAACTTCATAAAAGGTTATGAAAAACACCCAGTGTTGTGGGATGCTACCCACTGTTTATATAAAGTGAAACCAAAAAAAAAAAAACTGAAGCGTGGGATTCAGTCGCAACGGAACTTAATGTAGTCGTGGCTGAATTGAAAAAGAAAATGAACAGTTTGTTAGCTACATACCGGAAAGTGCGTCAGAAGCTTACTGCTGCCGGAAAATCAGGATCTGGAGCTGATGAAGTGGACGCCCCAAACTGGTTTGCATACAAAGCCTTCGCATTTCTTCACAACAGATATCAACCTCGGCGGACAATCAACACAGAAGTAAGTAAAACTAGTTTCATAGCCAACACTTGTAATTGACACAATATTTATTTTGGAAGAAAATCAAAGCAGANAAAGGTTATGAAAAACACCCAGTGTTGTGGGATGCTACCCACTGTTTATATAAAGTGAAACCAAAAAAAAAAAAACTGAAGCGTGGGATTCAGTCGCAACGGAACTTAATGTAGTCGTGGCTGAATTGAAAAAGAAAATGAACAGTTTGTTAGCTACATACCGGAAAGTGCGTCAGAAGCTTACTGCTGCCGGAAAATCAGGATCTGGAGCTGACGAAGTGGACGCCCCAAACTGGTCTGCATACAAAGCCTTAGCATTTCTTCAACCTCGGCGGACAATCAACACAGAAGTAATTAAAACTAGTTTCATAGACAAAACTTGTAATTTTCACAATATTTATTTTGGAAGAAAATCAAAGCAGAAAAAAATGTTAACTCGTTCACGAAACGTTGGTGTGTTCACGCCTGAAACATCTTAATTATAGTTTCAAAAGTATTATAATGTATAGGTAAAAACTCATATTAGTAGATACTTGAAATGTACCTATGTAAGTAGGTAGTTATTAGTACCTAGGTATCTGGTAACTGAATAATAAGAACGAATTCTTGAACAATTATTGATAATCAACTTGCCATGGCACTCTCTCATCTTCGGACATGAAATAAGCAGCAACTTCATCTCTAATGTCGTTAACAGTCTGAGTTGACAGTCGCTGAATGGTCGATAATGGCGAAAATGTAGCAGTCGTAATCTCATTTCTCCATGTTGCAAGAGTTACGTGTCCATTCTTTTCATGATCGAGTCCTCCCCCAGGACTACGAGCACAAGTACGAGTAATGTGGACGGGCCTTGAGATTTAAGAGCGATCGATGTATCTCTGCTGCCAGACTCACCTATATCCAAGTGGCAGTGACGGCAGTGACAGATTAATGTGCTAGACTAGAAAAACAGAACGACTATGTAGTGATGAGCGTAGCGATTTGTTTCTTAAATTAAGCAGATTTGCTGACTGAAAATTAGTGAGTTCCTCTGTTGTTTCGACCGTAGTAAGTATTAGTGTGTTGCTTGATATAGCTAGAGATGTAGGTTATCAAACCCTTTTGTTTTGTTCTTTATGGAAAAGGCAAAAACCATGTTAGGTGGATCCCTGTCACCACGGCATGGCGCGTCCTCAGGTTGCGGATGGAGGAGACGCCCTCAAGTTTAGGAGGGAAGCTGTGAATATATTGAATAAGCAGTCGCGGACAGCCGACAAGGGGTGGCCCTCCAGCTTGGGGGTTGGGCGTGAGGCTAACAACTCCTCACCGTAAAAAATCATTATATTACAAAAATGAACACAGCCTGGACTGATTCCTTGAATAAACGACCCACGCTAATGAAAATGGATATGAGATTTGGCACTTGGAATGTACGAAGTTTGTATAGGACAGGTTCACTCAGGGCAGTGGCAGAAGAAATCTTAAAATATAAGTTAGATTTGGCAGGAGCACAGGAGGTCAGATGGGATGGAGGTGGCATCGCACCAGCAGGAGACTATACATTTTTCTATGGAAAGGGGAATGAAAATCATGAATTAGGTACAGGTTTTTTCATACATAAGAGAATCCTTCCTATTCCTATTCCTATTCCTATTCAGAATGGTCTAAAACAAGGAGATGCTTTTTTGCCACTCCTTTTCAACTTTGCCCTAGAATATGCAATTAGGAAGGTCCAGGGGAACCGGGTTGGACTGAAATTAAACAGGACACATCAGCTGTTGGTCTACGCCGATGATGTGAATCTACTGGGTGGTAATGTAGATACCACAAAGAAAAACACACAGACTTTAATTGACGCAAGTAAAGAGGTTGGTCTAGAAGTAAATACAGAGAAAACTAAGTATATATTACTGTCTCGTCACCAAAATGCTGGGCAAAATCATTACATAAAGATAGGAAACAGATGTTTTGAAAATGTGGCACAGTTCAGATATTTGGGAACGATGATAACAGATCGAAACCTGATACAGGAGGAAGTTAAGAGGCGATTGAACTTGTGTAATGCTTGCTACCATTGAGTCCAGAACCTTTTGTCTTCTCGTCTTAGTGTCCAAAAACATAAAAATTAGATAGACTTGAAAGAATTCTGACGATGGTGTATACTGTACTTCTTTTGGCTTATTTTGGACTTCATCCATCGTCTAGTATGTAAGAGACAAAAGTCCACTTTTGTCTTTTACATACTAGACGATGGATGGAGTCCAAAATAAGCCAAAAAAGTATAAAAATTAGAATATACAAAACTATAATTTTGCCTGTGGTTCTGTATGGGTGTGAAACTTGGTCTCTGACATTAAGGGAGGAACATAGACTGAGGGTGTTTGAGAACAGGGTGTTGAGGAGAATATTTGGACCGAAGAGAGATGAAGTGACAGGAGGTTGGAGAAAACTGCATAATGAGGAGCTTCATAACTTGTACTCTTCTCCAAGTACAAATGATTAATTAGTAATTAGAATTAATTAGAATGATCAAGTCAAGGAGTATGAGGTGGGCAGGTGGTCATGTAGCACGAATGGGGGAGATGAGGAATGTGTATAGGATACTGGTGGGAAAGGCAGAAGGAAAGAGACCACTGGGAAGACCAAGGAATAGGTGGGTGGACAATATTAGAATGGATCTTAGTGAGATAGGATGGGATATGGATTGGATAGATCTGGCTGAGGATAGGGACCAG